TCAGTGCTGGGGCGGGGTGTGAAGGGGACGCGGGGTGTGGGGAGCCCAGCACGCAGGAGGCCTGATGTCTCTAACCAAAGCCCAAGGGCCAGGTGCAGCCAGGTGTGCTTGGCCCCAGGCAGGACGCTCAGGCAGAGACGTCCTGTGTCGGTGGGCACCTCACTCCCTGCAGAGCTTGGAGCTGGGCAGGGGCCCTGGAGGACACCATCTGCTCAGTCCCAGACCCTGGGGACTCTTGGAGCCCTGGGAGGCCCTGCCCCACCTGGCTCCGGCGGCAGAGGGCTGGTATAGGAAGGGTCGAGATTGCTGGACACGGACACGCTGCCTCATAGCCTCTCATGAGGACTCAGGACGCCAGGTGCGTCTGTCTCCTGACCTGACCATCGGCCCCCCTAGGGAGCAGCATCTGCACGACAGGCTGTTGCCCTACAGGAACCCCCGAACCCAGGCCTGCAGTGGCCAACAGAGGCTGCGCAGGATTTACGACCTCATCCTCGCATGAAAAGAGGCCCCAGGGCCCACTGCCGCAGCTGTTCCCGGCACCAGCACCCACCCGCAACACCAAGGAGCTGCCGGCAGCTTCTTGCCAACGAGGTTGTCGGTCTTGGCTGATGCACTTGGCATGGTGCCCAGGAGCCAATCATGTGGCAGGAGGACACTTCCGGCCCCCCTAGACGGTGAAGCCACCACTCACCCTTAACAGGGAGCACCCAGGTCCCTGTGCTCTGCTCTGGCCCTGTCTTAGCTCACCAGATTTGCACACTTGTCGTTGTCAGCCAGCATGGGGTCTCCACCCGCACCCCCACCCCCGGCGGGGAGTCCTCTGGTGGGAGGAAGGTTCTCCCTATGGGAGCTGCCCTCACACCTCTCCACGCACGTCCCGCAGCATTCCCGCAGCCGGTCCCCCAGGAGGAGGGAGGCTGTTGTATTATTTATGCAAAGTGTGGCTGTGGAGAGACGGGACTTAACAGCGCCGTGTGACAGCGACCTGGGGTCTGAGCTGCTGCCGGGCCATGAATCAGAGGCTCCCGGCTCCCGGCTCCCGGCTCCTGGGCAGATCCTGGGCCACCTCTGAGGTCTCTGAGGAGCTCGTACTGGGCTTCGCCGGGCTGGGACCTGGACCCAGTGACCCCTACAGCCCTCTGGACACCTCAAACCCTGCCCCCAGGGTAGCAGGTGGGGCAGGGCAGGCAGGAGGCAGCATCCACTGTGATGATCCGTAGGGTTGGTTTATGTCTGCCACAGCAGCCCAGTGCACCGTCTGCTGGGGTGATCTGAGCCGGGGGTGGGGGTAAAATGGGTCACAAGTGACGGCAGAGAGAGGCCCCGAGAGGAGCCCCAAGCCCTGTTAGCTGAAGGGCACTTGGGACAAAGAGGGGCCCTGGCCTACAGGGGAGAAACTTCCTGCGAAGGCCAGAGCTTGCGGCTCGCCTTGGACCAAATGGAGTAGAGCTATGGGGTGCGGACTCTGCATCATTAGGGCCGGGGAGGGGGTGGCGCTGTGGTGCGGTGGGTTAACCCGCTGCCTGCCTCACTGGCGTCCCATATGGGCACTGGTTCGTATCCCAGCTGTTCCTCTTCCAATCCAGCTCCCTGCTACTGTGCCTGGGAAAGCAGCAGAAGATGATCCAAGCACATGGGCCCCTGCACCCACGTGGGAGACCCCAAAGAAACTCCTGGCTCTTGGCTTTGGAGCCCTGGCTGTTATGGCCATTTGGGGAGTGAACCAGCAGATGGACGATACCTCTCTCCTCTCTCTCTCTCTCTGCTTTCCAAATAATTTAATTAATTAAAAAATAAAATAAAAAAGGACTCTGCAGGACAGGGCAGGCCAAGGCTAGATAACAGCTCGAGTTGTCCCCGAGGGGAAGGGGGCTTGAGGACGCCCCCGGCAGTTTCGCAGGCAAGGTGCAGTGTGCACATTGGAAGGGCTGCTCTCCTCGGCGCAGCCGCCAAGGGCTCGGGCAGCCGTGTGCCGTCCAAATCGGTGGACTCCAAGTTCAATGACAAGCGAGCGTACAGAGCAAGGATGCCTCGCCACCCTGAAGCCATCTATGATCCTACAAGGGACGGATAAATGAATAAGCCGGATTGGTGGCTTGCATTTTTCTCTGTAAAACACTCCCAAGGCCCACCTCTTGTGGATCAATTGTCCTGCAGTGCCCCGGAGATGGGAGGGCTGGCTGCCGGGCCCCCAGCCCCGGGGTCTCAGCTCACACCCCTGCAAGTGTGCTGCGACCCCCGCAAAGAGAACGTGCCCTCTCACGCACAGCCGGACTGCCGTCCCATCTGCCTCGTGAGAGCGGGGAGGGGCCGTAATTCATGTCTGTGAACACAGATCCGTCCTCTGCAGTCTCACGGGCGCACTCTGGTTCTGTCACTCCCCTGCCCCGTCCTGGGGTGGGGGTGGGGCCGGGGGCGGGGGCCAGAGACAGTGCTCAGCCTCCTCCGAGCAAGCTTGAAGCCAGCAGGAGGAGCGGAAATTGCTCCTTTTAATAAAGCAAAGTAAATGAGTTTCTCAAGGCATCCTGGGGAAGGAGGGAGGGCTCTGGGGGGAGGAGGGAGAGAGGCCACAGATCTCAGCACGGGACAGGACGGGACAGCCGTGCCCAGAATTTCAGCAAAGCCTGTGTGGGTGGCACCCCGAGAGGGAAAGAATCGGGGTGCTGCAGGGGGCGGGAAAGGGCCAGCCCCCCGGGCAAGGAGGCACGAGGAGGCCAGGTGGGCTGGGCAGCCCCCTCCTCAGAGGAGCGCCTGTAGAGGACCGGGCTGTCTTTGAGAATGCTGGTAGGCAGGGCCTTCCCACGCCCCGACTACCGGGGTCAAGGGCACCAGACACCCAGGTCAGCAGCATAGCAGACGCTGGACCCCGAGTCCACTGACCCGGTTAGTCTGGCCTGGGGCTCGGCCCTGCTGGGTGGCACCTGGCACCCTGGACCCCTTCCTGGGCTCCCCAGAAATCCTAGGGCTGCTGAGCGAGACCAGCCCATGCCCCTGGCAGGCCTCGGGTCCTGCCCCAGTCGGCACACAGGTGACCCCCACGGAGCGGCCAGGCTGCAGGGGGCATGTGGCATCCTTGGCTCTGAGGGGTCTGCTGGGGGCCCACGTTGGGGAGGGGTCTGTGTCTGGCGGCGGACCACGGAGGCAGCAGCAGGGGCGTGCCTGTGGATCAGTGGTCGCAGGGGGCAGGGCAGAAAGGCCCCTCACCCCTCATCTGTGGCCGGCTGCTTCTTGATGGGTTCCCCCTAGGCTCACAGCCTGGTGGCAAAGCTGCGGAGGAGGGTGGACCGCAGCGAGAGCAGGGGCCCAGCCAGCCTCTGAGGACGCAGGCACAGCTAGCACCTGGCACGCAGACACACAGGTGGGGGCCGGGGTTGGAGGGGGTGGGTCCAGGTGGGTCCCGCTCTTGCTCCTAGATTTGCCCGCCGCTAAATGCTTAGCTGAAACGCGCTCTCCCGCTCTCCGTCATCCCACCAGGAGCCGCGCCCAGAGGATGCCCACCGCGTGGAGGGCAGAGCCGGCCCCACCGCCCCGCCCCGCAGCTGGGCCGCGCCCCTCCCCGCCCCTCCCTGCTCGCGGGGCCTGGGGCGGGACTCGCAGAGGCCACACACCCCCACCGGACAAAGGAGCGAATGCCATCGGCGCTGCGTGTTTCCCCGCAGGCGTCCAGAGCCGGGCAGCCGACACTCAGCCTCCAGGGGACACGTGTCTGTGTCCTGCAGCGACCCGCGGTGGGGCCCTGGGTGGGGCAGCGGCCCCAGCTACTCCCAGTGCTCAACCGAAGAGCAGCTTGGGAGACCCTGGGTGACACAATGACGCTGGGCCTCAGGCCAGGTGCTCTGCACCACCTGGCAGCCAGGAACGGGGTCCTCTCCCTGCCCTGTGGCCACTGGCATCGGCAGCAGGCACAGGTGGAAGGGAGCGGGGCTGACTCCTGGCATTCGGGCCTCACCCAGCACCCCCTCCCTGAGCCAGCAGGGGGACAGGAGAGATCTACTGGGTGCAGCTGGGTCCCCTCAGGGGACCTGGGAGGAGAGGGGGGCAGGGGATGCTGCGGAAGCAGGCGTGGGGAGCCAGAGCTGCCAGGCTCCACTCAGGTCGGGGAGGGCCCCGGCGACAGCAGAGAATCCTCTGTCCCAGCTGCCCAAGGGACATCACAGGTGCCCAGGCTGGAGGAAGCATCCAGAAATTGCGCCTCCATGGGGCCTGCACCTCACAGGCCCCACCTGCAAGGAGTGTGCCCCCAAAGCCATGGCCAGGGGGCTCGGAGCAGCGCAGGCAGACAGGGGCCCTCCCAGACTGGCCACCCCTGGGGGGTCTCCCTCGGCCCCACACCCTCCTCAGACCACAGGGGCCCATGAAGCAGCAGCTCTGGACATGACCGCGGCCCTGGGCTGTGCTGTGCCTCCGGGCCCAGGCCTTCCCAGCAGTGCTCAGGGAGTGTGACACACCCGGGAGGAAGGCAGGTGCCCGGATCTCCCGGTGGGGCTGCCCGGTGAGAAGCCCCTCTCTCCTGCTGAGCCCTCCACACCAGCGCAGTGTGGGGTGGGCAGCCTCGCCCAGCCAGGACAGCTCCCCTTCCACCACTCACTCTGGGAGCCCACCCCAGGCTGCAGGAGACGCTGTCACAGCGAGGCCTGAACCCACATTCTCAGAGGGGGAAGGGGAGGCCGAGGCCTGACCTTGTAAGATGTGGCAAAAACTGCTGCTTTTGACTTCCAGGGGAACTAAGTCCCAGGGCCACCCTGAAATGAGGGTCACTGGGCCACCAGGCCAGCTGGGGCCCTAGCACCAGGTACAAAGACCCAGGGCAGGAGGCCTGGCCAGGGAAGAACGGGTGGTTGTGGGAAAGACAGAGGAGCTCAGGGAGGTGGGACAGCGTACCCAGAAGGCATCAGGAAGGTCCCTTCTTGGGTGCCCAGCGTGCCATGGGCCTGAGCCTCCCCCGGGAGGGGTCCCTGCAGCCCCCCTGCTCTGGGGACCCTGGAAGAGGCCGAGGCGACAGTACAGTGGCTTTATTGACCAGACGCAGCAGCACACACAGGGAAGCCAGGGCCTGCACCCTGCAGCCTGGCCAGGGGCTCTGGCTTCCTGGAGCTGAGCCGGGGGGGGGGGGGGGCAGCCCCAGTGTCTCTCCCCTGTGCTCCCTGAAGAGAGGGACAGCAGGGGGCCAGGTCCCAGAGGGGCTGGGGAGGCAGCGGGGCCAGGATGGGCCCGGCAGCAGGTGCATGCCTGCCCAGCAGCCGGCAGGAGGCGATTCGTGCGGGGCGGGCGGTGGGGACGTGCAGGCGGGCAGGCGGGCGGGTGGCCAGGCTCACCACACAGAGCACTTGTGGGCAGGGTTCATGGGCGAGTCCTTAGGACAGTGGAAGGCCCGGCCGAACTCCTCAAACTGGGATACACTGCCCAGGACCCTGGGGTGAAGGGAGAGACGCCCACAGTGCGGGGCCCAGCGGCCAGGCCACCCCAGCTGCCCGTGCTGACGGCGGAGGCCCAGGGAGGCAGGTGGGCCTACCTGTAATGCTCAGGCGCATGCTTGTCGGTCAGCACCTGCAGGTAGATGGACTGCGACCGGCGCTTGATGCACCAGTTCTGGGCCGCAGAGGCGGGCAGAGGGGAGGAGAGGGCGAGGTGAAGCCAGGTGTCTACCGCACATCTTCCCACCCCAATGCCACAGCCCACGGGGCCATCACCTTCGAGGGGACACGTGATGGGACACAGGCTGGCCGCAAGAGAAAGGGCAAGCGAGGGCTGGGAGCCCTGGGCCCCTACTCCCCTGCCCACCTGAGCAAAGGCGATGAAGAAGAGCTGGTTGTGTGTGTACTTGAGCCGGTGCAGCGGGTGCTCTGGGCCGTGTTCCCGCACCCACTTCTGATAGGCCTGGGGGTGCAGGATGTAGAGCTGCTGAGCCCACCCTGCCCCGTGTGCTGCCCTCTCTCCATCAGCCCCTCCCTCCGCAGCCCCCACCCTGCATACCACCTACTCTGCTGCATATCCCCGCCTGGCCAGTGCCACCCCCTCCAGGCAGCCTTCCTTGCTCTCTTGGCAAAGATGAGGTGAGGCCTATGGATCCTCCCTCTTCTGCTGGACCTTGTGACCAGCCAAGGCCCCGCAGGACTCTAGGCCAGAGCTCAGAAAGGATGGGCAGGGAGGGGCGGCCATGCCTCTAGCCTGGGGTCATCAACAGCTCCCTCCGTCCCCCAACAGGGCCCAGGGCCAGGCAGGGCAGCTCACATAGTAGGCCAGCTTGAGGCCGCCCATGTCCGCAATGTTCTCGCCAAGCGTGTGTTTCCCATTCACCTACGAGAAAAGGAAGAAGCCAGGGGACACGTGGGGTCTGGCTGACCTCCCTCGGGCCTGGCTCCCGGGGGTCCCTGCTCCCTGCCAGCCCTCCTTCCTTTCCCAGAGACTTTGAGGGGGGTGCCCGCCCCCTGCCCCCACCTGGCACTCCTGTACCAGGTGAGTCCCTCTGCCCCCTTCCCATGTCCACGTAAGCATGTGCAGGAGCCCCGGGCACGGGGGCAGGGACCTGCGTTTTCTAGGACACCCGTGGGTGTCTTGCTCTCGCTCTGCACCCAGCCAGCTCTGAGGGGCACCAGGTGCGGGCAGGAGGGGAGGGCCTCACCCGCTGGTTGTAGACTGTGAAGTTATCGTAGAGGCGCACAATGCACTCGGCCTTGCGCAGGAAGCGGCTGTAGGAGGCCTCGGTCCACCAGTGCAGCAGGTTCCCTGAGCGGTCGTACTGGCCCCCTGCGAACACCGCGGGCGGGCGGCTGAGACCGGCCTCCCTCGAAAGCTCTCGGTTCCCTCGCCGCCCCTCCTCCCTGAGCCAGCGCCCAGGCCCTCCCGGGCCTCACCCCAGTCATCGTAGCCGTGGGTCAGCTCGTGGCCGATGATGGTGCCGATGCCCCCGTAGTTCAGAGACCTGGGGGTATGACAGCTGCGTCAGGGGCCTGGCCTGCGTCCTCCCCTCTGGGAGCCCCGCGCTGCTGCCCAGGAGGCCCCGGGAGCCTCAGTGTCCCCGTGGGTACCTGCCCAGAGCTTTAGGAAAGACCGTCACACAGGGCAGGTGGGGCAGGAGAGCAAGGGGGGCCCATGGGGGCACGGGGCCTGCTCCATTTCCTCACACAAGGAACTCCCCCCCTTTCTAATTTAACCAAGAATGAGGTGGGACCACAGGGACCCTGGGTCTGTAGCTGTCATGACCCTGCCCAGTGCTGGGGCAGTTTAAGCCCCAACCCACCCCTGCCCCAGACACGGCCGGCCCAGCCCTCGGCCCTGTCCTGTACTCACTGCGGGAAATCGGGGTCATACAGTGTGGGCTGTAGGATGCCTGCCGGGAACACTGTGGGGAGGGCGTGGTCAGGAGACGGCCCGCCCACTTCGGGGAGCCACCCCTGTAGGGCAAGACTCACCCATCTGGTTCTTGTTGGGTAGGTAGTAGGCATTGAGGGCCTGGGGGGGCAGCAGCCAGCTGTGGAGGGAGGCGGGGGTCGGCGAGGTGCCCACAGACCCTAGCCTCTGTCTGCTTGACGGCTGCCCCCGGGGCCCAGCCACAGCCCTCCCCTGACAACGCGGCCTCTCCCCGTGTCCCGCCCTTAACCCCCAGCTCAGGGCAGGCACCCACGTGGACTTGTCCACCTCCTGCCGGATCTTCTTGACGGACAGCTGGATGCTGAAGCGGATGCTGTTCAAGATGTTCTTGAAGTAGGTCTTCTCGTGGACTTCAAACTACAGGGCGGGGGCGGGACGGGGGGGGGAGCGGCACTGGTGCCACAGTTACCGCACAGCGTGGGAGGCCCACGTGCCTTGGCGGAATGCCTAGCTTTGAGCCCCGCTCCACTCTGATTCCAGCTTCCTGCTAATGTGCACACTGGGAGGTGATGGTTCAAGTGGTTGGGTCCCTGCCACCCACATGGCAGACCCAGGTCTGGGCCAGGGCCCCGGGGAAGCCTGGCCGGTGAACCCCGGGCAGAGAGCGGGGGATGTGGCTCACCTCATACTCCTTGTCCACAGCCTCGGGTTTCAGCAGGAAGTCCGGGTAGCCAACCATCACCATCATATACTGCAGCTGTGGGGCACAGGGAGAGCGCGAGTGGCCCAGGGCCTGGGGAGATGGCTCCCCAAACCACTAAGAGAAGGAGGCTCTCAGCCAGCCCAGGAGGCCAGGTGCAGGAGAGCAGGCCAGGTGATGGCAGCTTCCCACAGGCATCCTGTCTCCTGTTCTCCCCAGCATCTGACACTCAGTAGACGCTCAAGAAATGTTTGTGGGGCCAACCAATGGGGCCCAGGTCCCAGCTCACCTTGGCCCGGGCCGCTGCTTTGGTCTCAGCATCCATCCAGTCCAGCTCCTCCAGGCGCTGGCCCAAGATGTACTTGATGTCTTCCACCAGCTGCTGTACCTGCCGGGTCAGAGACAGAGGTCACAGGTCAACCAAGAAGGCTTTAGCTCTGGACCCCCGGCACCTGGCACAAAGGGGGCTGCCCCATGATAGCGTCAGAGCTGAAGCCTGGGGCTTGGTGCTGAGTGCAAAGGGGAGACTTCGGAGGTGGGAACCAGGCCCTGCACTCTAAGCTCTGCCTCCTGAGTATGGCCAAGAAGGCGGGCAGTGGATGGTGGGAAAGTCACCTGCAGCTTCTACCTGCGGAGGTGGAAGCCTAGTGAGGAGCAGCAGTAACCTCAGAGGGGCTGAGGCTGGGACCCCCACCTGCAGGCAGGTGTATGGTGCTTCCCATCCAAGGACCAAGACCAGCAGAGGGCACCACACCCAGCTCAGCAACCCCACCCCCACCCCCACCGCTAAACCCAGGGCAGCCTGACCTTGGCCTTGCTGGCCGCTGAGAAGTGCTCATGGACAAAGAGGGCGCCAAGTGCCATGCCGAAGTGGCGGTTGGCCTGGCCCAGGCACACGCGGGCCAGCTCCTGGGGCTTGTCGCTGCCCTCCATCTCCCGGGCCAGCTCGTGCAGCGCCTCGCGGAATGGCGAGGACAAGTGCTCGCTCAGGACGACCACCACACGCCACACCAGGTAGTTGTGCAGGATCCTGGGGGCCAGGAGGAGCAGGGGGAAGGGTGTGGGCAGCCATGAATGAGGGCCAGACTGGGTACCGTCTGGCCCACCCTGTGTCGCTAGCCGAGGGTTGGACCCAGCACCCACAAAGGAAGTGCACGTGGTCATCCCGCTATGCAGAGGCAGATCTGTGTGCCCAAATCACACACAACACGGCTCCTGCTCAAGCAGAGCCCTGCGACTGAGGGTTTAGGGCCAGCATCATTTCATCACGAGCTATGGGAAGGACAAGCAGGCCCTCCAGGGTGACCGTGACCTCAGAGCTGGCCTTGAAAGACCTCTGTTCCTCCCCCAAGGCAGGCCCTGGGGCAGCAGACCTGGGGCCACAGGTCTCCTCTCTGAGAGCCGTGCTCAGCCTTAACCTCCCCAGGTGAGGAAGCTCACAGCCCCGCCCCGGGTCCCACAGGGAATCAACAGGGCCAGGGTCAGAACAAGGGATGGAGACTCCTACTCCAGTGCTCCGGCCTGCCCCCCTCACGGAGGCTGCTGCACCGACGTGCGGTGGAAGCGCCACGCTCACCCAGCAGCCAGCTCCAGGGGCGGCGGGGGTGTGTGGCGAACCTGCGGGGTGTGGAGCGGATGAGCTGGGACACCTGCTGCATGTAGTCCGTGGCCAGCAGCACCACCTCCTCGTCCTCCGAGAAGTCCTCCTGGAAGATCTGGTCCAGCAGCCACTTCCACTGCAGCTGGGGGAGGGGGGAACAGGGCCCCAGGGGCCCGGGAGCAGCAGTGAGGGCGCACGGGAGCCGGGCCACCAAAGGCCTGCCCGCCCCTGGGGTGTGGGGGCCAGGGCCAGGGTCCCCTCACCCTGTGGCCACCAGGGGCTGCCACTCACATGGGGGGTGATCTTCTGCAGCTGGCCCAGCGTCACCTTGTTGTACACAGAGCTGACGTCTCTGCGCAGGTCGTCATACTCCGACACGGTGATCTAGGGGAGGGTCGTACAGCTCACCAGCCACGCCCTGAGCCCCTCCCCCAGCCCAGGAGGCCCAGCCCCCTCTCACGTTGGCCAAGCGCTGCTCCAGCTGCAGGATCTCCTGGGCCTTCCGCTCCACTTGGTCTGCTCCCAGCAGGCGGAGCAGGCGCTCCATGAACAGCCTGTAGGCTGCCAGGACCTGCACCAGGGCGGGGCGCTGCTCAGGCTGGGGACCCCGCCCCCCGGGGCCCAGGCCCTCCCTGCACCCCAGCCCAGGCCCCACCTTCTCACTCTCCTCATCCTGAGCCAGGTACAGGGTCCTCTCCGGCAGGGTGAGCCCGTCCTGGTCAATCTGGAGAGGGAGACGGGGGCCAGCAGGGGTCACCCCAACAGACTGGATCCCCACCCAGATGCCCGGAGCGTGGACTGGCCAGGCACCATTGTCCCAACCCCAGGAGCGCGCAGACCCCAGCCACTCTGCCTGAGAAGCTGCGCAAGCCCTTCCCTGAGGGTCCTGCCTGAGGCTGCAGAGGGTGCCGTCCTCCCCCCGCCCCGTAAAGCCCCCACTCTCCTCACCAGGCAGAGGCACTCAGAGCTGAGCCCCAGGCGACACGCCCCGCGCGCTCTCCCGACCTGGCCTGCCAGAGGACCGGGAAATTGCGGCTCCCCGCCGCCGCCTCTGGCGCCCTGCCCGTGGGCACCCCTCCCCTCCGCGCCGGCCGCCCAGGCGCGCGCCCCAGGTCCCCGCGGCCACTTACCCGGATGACGTAGCGCGAGGAGTTCCTGTCGTCCAGGCTGACGGTGAGCGAGAAGAGCGCGGCCGCGCTGTACACGCCCTGCGCCTTGTACAGCAGCCGGTTCAGGTCCCAGCGCGCGGCCGGCCCCGGGCGCTCGGGCGCCCCGCCCAGGTCCCAGCCGCCGCAGTCCTCAATGACCTCGAGCATGGGCCGCGGCCCGAGCCGCTCGATCTCGCGCATGTCGAGGCACGAGCGGAAGAAGGCGCGCACCTTGCGCTGGGCCGCGCCGCCCGGGCCGCCCGCGGGCCGCGCCAGCAGGAGCCGCAGGCGCTCCTCGTTCTGCTCCCCGATGGCCGCGATGGTGCCGTAGGTGAGCTTGTCGTCGGGGATGGCGTGGCGCCGCAGCCAGCCGCCGCATGCGAACGAGTAGAAGTCCTGGCACGGGTCGATGCTGGCGTCCAGGTTGGCGGCCAGGAAGCGGGCGGCGCGCGCGAAGGCCTTGCGCTCCGGGCAGCCCTCGGCACAGGCGGCGCCGCCCCCCGCGCCCGGGCCCAGGTACTTGAGCGCCAGCATGGCGGCCAGGATGGCGCACAGGCCGGCGGCGAACACCAGCCCCGACAGCAGGCACACCTCGCGCCGGTTCCAGCGCGGCAGCCCGGCCCGGGCCCCGGCGGCGCCTCGGCCCGCTCCCAGCGGGAAGCCTGGGGGCAGCGAGGTCCCGCGCGAGCCCCCCGCGCCGCAGCGGCTCACGTACTTGACCTCCTGGAATTCGTCGTAGTGCGCAGTCATCGAATACGGGGCCTCCATGGCTCCCAGGCCGCCGCGGAGCGGGCCCTGGCCACCTGGGCTACAGCAGACGCCGAGCCGCCGGCCTCCTTTCGGGCCTCCGCATGGCCCTGGGGTCGCCGCTGTGGGAAGGGCAGAGGCCGGCTCAGAGAGACGCTGCAGCCCGACGGCGACCACCGACGGGGCGAGGAGGGGTGCAGCGGACTGGGCTTTTGTCTGACCTCCTTTCGCCCAGGAAGGCTCAGAGTGGCCACCACGTCCCCGCACAGTCCCGCCTTCTACCCACACGTGCGCTCTGCGGCGCGGGAGGGGCCTTGGTGGGAAGCAAGAGGGCGAGGGGCACGGATTCGAGCACGTAGTAGGCCTTCGCTGAAAGCCTCTTCCTCCTCCCTCGTCCAGGATTGTCCCGGGTCGGGGAGGACAAAGAACTTAGAAGAGGTACGGTCAGGGGCGCGTCTAAGCGTCCCCTAGACTGCTTTCAGCTCTCCGCACTGGACCCAGATGCTGGAGTCCGCGGCCGAAGAACCACACTTTGTCCTGGCGGAGTCCGCCGGACCAACCTCGTCCGGTCCCTGGTGTTTTCTGATCGGCCGCCCGAATGCCACCGGCGCTTTTCTTAAACGGCGCGCGCCTCGCGGCGCAGCGTCCGGGAGACAAACCCTCCTCGCTGATCCGTACGGAGAACCAAGACCGGTCCGGTCCCCAGCCCCTTCCTCGCCCTGGGCCGCTCCCGCCTTCAACAGGTTCTCCCCGAAACCCAAACTTGGGCGAAGTTTCACCCCCTACACTCAGCAAGAATGCAGGGCGCGCCTCGAACCCGGGGCTCCGAGCCTCGCTCGCCACGCCGGTCCGCGCAGTCCTCGGAGCCCAAAAGCCGAGCCCGCCCGCAGTCGCAGCTGAAGCTGGAGCCGAGAGGACGCAGACAAAGCCGGGCGGCACGGCGCAGCGGCGGAGGTGGCCGCGGGGGTGGCGAACTCGGGGGCCACTTACCGGGAGGTGCGCGCCCAGGCCGGGCGGGGCCGGAGCCGGTCGGACCCGGGCTGGGGCCGGAGCCGCAGCCGCAGCGGAGCGGGGCGGGCGCCGCTGTCTCCGTGCGCCCGCCGCCTTCTCTGCCGCCGCGCGGAGCCCGCCGCGCCGCGCCGCCCGCCGGCCCCGGGGGAGGGGGCGCGCCGGCGGCTCCACCCTCCTCCGCCCGCCCCCGCGCCCCTCCCTCCCCGGCTTCCCTCCCGGCTACCTGTCAGCTCGGCAGCGGCGCGGAGGCGGGGGTGCTGCGGAGCCCGGCTCCCGAGGGGCGTGCGCAGGCTTCGCGCTCGGGGACTCCCGGCCCAGCCGCGTTCCGGGAGGAGCCAGCGCAGCCGCTGCTCCCCGGAGGGGGATCCCCTCTATTCCGGTTCCCCCTACTCGCAGCCAGCTATCGGACCTGCAGCAGGAGCCCAGGAGGCGCGTGGGCCCTCCGGACTGGGCACCGCCCTGGAGGACTCCCTCGAAGGGTGTGAGGCGGCGCTGAGCGCCCGCATCCGCCCGGCTCCGTGGCTGTCGCAGAGCGGGCCTGCCGTGGGACGCTCCCTTGTCCTTTGAACGCCTGCCCGCCATTGAGCCCTGTCCGAGGTGCTGGTTGACCATGCTCCCTTCACCCCGCTTCTGGCGGAGAGGGAGGGTGAAGGCTTGGAGAAGAGGCTGAGGCTGAAACTGTGCCCCTCTCTCCTCCTTGGCCGGCCCTGGCACCGCTGCCCGGGAAGCCTCCGGCCCAGGTAGGGAAGAAAGAGCAGAGAGAGAGGAGTGAGGTCTCCCTGCCGCTGCAGATGGGCAGGGGGCGCCCTGTGCCCCAAGCAGCCTGGGGCTCAGACAGGCCTGGGCTTCATCAGGGGCCCCGTGTGTGTGAATTGAGGGACGGGAGAGGCTGGGTAGGGGGACTGGATTTGTCCACTCACTCCCTTCTTGCAGCTGAACTTGACTGTCTGCACCTCTGTACCCACCGGGTCCCAGCCCACATGAACCAGAATGCAGGGTTCTTGGGTGAGTGGTACTCTTCTTGCCTTCCAGCCCCAACCGGAGCCTGCCCGCTCCCTCTCCGTTGTGTGTCCCTAACTGGGCATTCCCAGGCCTCACCGCTCCAGCCGGCAGGAAAGACCTTAAACACTGCTTATGACAGCCATGGGGTCCCTCTGAGAAAACACAGGACAAGGAGGAGACTCAAAGGACAGACCCATAGCCCTGTCCCCTCCCCTGGGCTGCTCAACCCCTCGGCTGCCTGCACAGGGACTTCCTGTCTCCTGTCTGTGCGTCTCCCTGCTCCGGATTCTCTCTGCCTCCCGAGGTCCTGCTCTGTCCCATACATTCTGCTTGTGCTCAATTAATTCTACTGAGGAGAGATGAAATTACGCAAAATGTGGTGATTCCTTGTGGGGGAGGGGAGGGCAGGGCGGTGGCAAAGTGGCTCTTTGTGCTTTTAATCTGCATTTTCCCCCTCCACGTTCCGGCTCCAGGAGGGTAATTTTGCAGCCTTTTCAGGCCCTGATTGGTATCATTTCTCCAGCAATGACAGCTTTTATTTTCCCCGAAATGAATGCCGTGAAATTTCCAAGAAATATAAAAATGGATATTGTCTCGGTTCCGACAGCAGAGCATGGAGGCAAACACGCGTCCCTGGGGACTGTCCTGTGCCGGCCCCGGGGAGGGGATGGGGGACACAGGCTCTCAGTCTCTCCTGGCTCCCTGCCCTCCCAGGCCTGCTCTTGGACCCCTCTTTTGGCCATGCCTCTCCCAGACCCAACTGCCCTGCACCTGCTCCCGTGCCTCTGCCTCCCAGCCTGGCCCCCAGCCTGGCCTGCTCCACCTCATTGGCTCTGTTTAGAGTCTCAGCCCCCACACCCAAACCCCCACCCCGACACCCAGGCCCCCAGGCAGCCATCAGTGCCAATTGGAGTTGCACTAGGATTGGGCTGTCAGTCATGGCCACCACTACTCAGCCTGCCCACCAAGGGGGCCATTTGAATCATAGCACAATGTTTACATGTATCGAAACAACACCTAGTAGCCCATAAATACTATAATCATGTGTCAATCCAACAAAGCTGTGATGGGCAGGCCTTTAGCCGGGCAATTAAGATGGCTGGGCCCCACATCAGAGTGCCTGGGTCCAGACTTTGACTCCTGACTCTGGCTTCCTGCTCAGACCCTGGGAGGCAGCCGTGATGGTTCAAGTAGTCGGGTTCCTGTCACCCAGCTGGGAGACCCAGATTGAGTTCCTGGCTCGGGGCTTTGGCTGTTGGGAACTGTGTGTGTGTGTGTGTGTGTGTGTGTCTACTTCTTAAAATTTCTAAAGGAGGAGGAGGGGCCGAGACCCACTTTCTCTTCGCTCTCGTGCCCCTTCTCAGAGGGAGGGGTGAGTGGGAGGGTGCTGGGGGGTCTGGCCTTTAGCTCCCTCACTCCCTGAGGTTTCCAGGGCTCCCCCGCCCCACCTGCCCATGTGACCCCTTGACTGATGAGCAAGAGAATGGCAGATCTCAGTGTGCCCGGATGCACCCAGCCCAGTGCGGGAGCTGTGGCCAGAGCTTCCTCGGAAGGGAGGGAACAGGCTCAAGGGGGAGCGAGGGGCAGGGGGAGGAATTCAGGAGCTGACCCCGCCTCCTCCCCCGCAGGCAGACCCCAGCCACCCTGCGCAGGACCAGCAGGCCTGGGTTCCGGGGAGGGCACTGCCTGGGAGCAGCAGTGCTCGGCTAGTGGCCCTGGACAGCTGAGTATTGATCAAGTGAGGCGCCCTGGGCCCCGCCCTGCGGGAGGGCTGCTGATGGGAGCTAACCAGTCCTGCTGCGGCCCCGCGTGCTCACACCCGCCTGCTCTGCTCTGGGCTGCACGTGCGTGGGGAGGAAGCCCCACTTCACATGTGCCCTGGGACATCCCCTAGCCACCCTCCTGTGCCACCAACCTCTACCCCACCCCAACAGATACCCTCCTTGCCTGGAAAACACTCCCCACCCCAGCTTCCCACCCTCCTCTGGGGACTCATCCCATCTATTATTCAGAGCACCAAATGGATGTTTAATTTGAGAAATGAAATGACTCTCCCAAGTGGCCAGGGTGGCAGGGAGGGGCGGAGGAAGGCCGGAGACACGGGCAGTCATGGCGATGCTGACTCAGGCACTGCTTGGAAAGCTGGGTGCCCTCTGCAGACCCGGGCCCTCCCCCAAAGTTCCTGTGCTGCCTCTCACCCTAGTGCTATGGCCAGTTGGGGTGAGCAGTGCCCATCAGTCCTGCCTGAGCCCTTGCGGGGGGCCCTGGGCAGCTGCTGGGCTCCCTGGCCTGGCCCATCCCTGACCTTCACCGGGCTGGACTCGCGTTTCCTCCACCCTGTGCAGACCCCCAGCTGGGCTTCTCTGCCTGGCCCTGACGCCTTGCCATGCCCCCTGCACTCTGGACAGCTGCCCTGGCCTCCAGCTCCCAGAGCCCCCTCCTCAGCCTTCTGGGATGAACTCAGCCCCTTACGGCAGCCCACAAAGCCCTCTGCCTTCCTCGTCTTTCTCTGCCCTTCCCTCTCTCTGACCCCCACCCCACCCCCTCTTTCCTCCGGTCACTCCGATCTACTTTCATTTCCCAGAACCTCACTGGCCCTCTCACACCTCAGGGCCTTAGCACTTGCTGTTCCGGCTGTCTGCCACGTCCTCCATCAGCCCGATGCCAGTCATCCGTCTGGGCCACGCAGGGGCAGCCCCTCCCTCTGGCCACAGGCTGGGGGTTCATTGTCCCTGGGTCGCCACTGCCCAGATGCTGGGGTCTGCCCCGGCAAGGGCCCTGCTCTTCCCACATCTGCACAGCCCACATCCCTTCCAGAGCCCTGCAGGGGTGTGTAGGAACAACTCGGGGGACAGCTGTGATCAGGTCATGGGGAATCCCCTGTCCCCACTGTGGTAGCCCCCAGTGCCAGGCTGTACCAGGCACAGCACCCACCTGTGACCCTGCCCAGGCCCTTCTCCTGTGCTCTGGGGCCCATCTGGGACAATGGGAAGGGGCTGCACCTATACTCCCCTGCACCCCTTACTCCCATGCCCCACCCCAGCCTCCTGTCTAGAATCTCCTCCCAATCTTTAGGTCAGGGTTTTATTGCACATACCATGTTCTTGTT